TAAAATATATTGTCTTTTTTTTTTATATAACAACATATTTGCAACTTTATGATGCTAGTCTAATCTGAAGTTTTAAAGCATATTTTTGTAAACTATTTTATAAAAATTGTATTATAACTTATAAAAAAATAACAAAAACTAGTAAAAATAACTTACTAATTAATAACAAAGATGTTATTAATCTTTTTATAGAAGCATGAAAACAGGTTTTTAATAAAACAATTTGTAACTATTAGATTAAAACTGGAATATTTTTAAATAATTATTTTTTCTTAACCTTTTAAAAATTAATAAAAGATTTTGTATTAATTAATTTTATTTTACAAAATTTATAACATTAACTTTCTATAAACAATCTAATAATTGCAAATAATTATATTAAAACTGATTATAATATTGAAACTAATATAATGCTTAGTAATGCAAAAATAATTAATATCATACTTAATTATGATTGTAATAAAAATAATAAAGTTGAACCTAAAGTTTATATTTTTTATAAAGAAATTATTACAAATATTAATAAAATTCTTTAGTTTATTGATCAGAAGAATGAATTTAAGATAAATGGATCTTTTATTAAAAAATTAAGCAGTTTTAAAAAAGATGTTATAAGAAATAGTATTGCATTAAAGAAACAAACAACTCTGGATTCATATTTGCAAATTTAATTCATAGTCATAGAGTTTAAAGTCTGTTTATAGTAATTTAATTTATTAAAATTTTAAATTTAAAATTCAAATTTAAATTTTTTAAATTCAAAATATTAAATTTTAAATTTAAGATTTAAAATTTAAAATTTAAAGTTTCAAAATTTAAAATCTAAAAAAAAAAATTGAATTTGATCAATAATAAAAAAATTCAATAGAGATTTAATCTAACATTTTATTGACTTAGTGTTTATTCGCAGCAACTTCGTATTAAATTTTTATTTATTAGATTTACATTCAATAATTCATAATATTTACATAACCTGATCAAAATTAGTTGGTTTTTATTAAAGGTATAGGTAGCATTTATTAAATATCTAATGCTATTAAATGCTTTACTAACTACTTTTTACATCTCTGTTTACAGCACTATCACGTATACTTTATTGCAAAAAAAATTTTAAAGTAACTAATCTCTACACCTAATTATTATAAGAACTGAATATTATTTATCATCACGCACAAATAAATGATGTTATTTAATTCGACTAACAATCATACTACTATATTTATCTTGCATTAATTTCATAATAACGAAATTTATGCTCATGTGCATCGATTTGTAAGACACTTAATAGGTTTTTTGGTGACATTTGATATAAGACCTTTTTTATAACGAGAGGCTCATGCTATAAGAAACTCTTGATATAAGGTTGGACCCGTGAACTTTCTTATATCGAGATTCACTTGTATATAACATTAACAATCGTGTTTTATAAGTAAAATTTCATTCTGAAAACTTTTACTTAGAGGTCGGAAGTTAGTCATCATAGTAAATTTTTGTTTATTTCTGTATTTACAATTTCTTATGTTTTTCGCGTTTGTTTTGTTAAACAAGATCCTGTGATTTTATTGGTTCCGGATAGGGTCGGAAGTGATCTTCAGCGATCTTCAGCCCGGGATTTTCTTGACATAAGGGTATTCGGAGTCGGATCAGTTCGGACAGATCATTTAATTAGGGTTAATCGCTGATTACAAATTTTTATAGGTTTCTCGCATCTGTAACCTGATACGATAAAGCTTTGCAGCTTTAAATTTTTTTGAATAGATGGATTGCTACGAAGAGTTTGTATTTTTACAATATAAAAATTGATATAAATGTGATAGTGAATAAAAAAATTCAACTTAAGGTAATAAAAATGGGGTTGAAAAAATTAAATTTTTAAAGTTTTATTTTCAGAATCTTAAAATATTTTTTTATATTTGTATTACAATTTTTAATATAGAACTTCAAAATAAAAAAAAAACCTCATCGTATTAGATTACAGGTGCGGAGAAACTTTTGGCGGGTACTTGTAAAAAACCCGACCAAATTTTTTTCTTTCAAATATTTCCATATGTAATAAATTAAAGTTTCCCTCTGAAAAATAGATCCACCCTGTATAATTTATCTTTAAATCATTGATATCGATATTACTAATAAGCGATTACAACTAATAAATTGGGGTGTCGTCAATAAAAACGTCCCAAAGTGCAATTAATAATTTTTTAACAAATGTTACACGAAATTATATAAAAAATTCTGACATATCTAATTGTAACGTAACATGGGATGTCATTAATTATTAATAATACATACAATTAGACGTTGAATCTTTAAATTTCGTGTAACAATTGTTTATTAATTGTACTTTGGGACGTTTTGATCGACGACGGACGCCCAACTAGGCAGTTGGAATCGAAAATAAATTTATAATATTGATACTGACATGGGTGCAAATTTAATAATGAAGTTTGTTGTATAAATTTATCATGTTTTTCATTCTAAATTTGAAAAAAAGTTCATTATATGTTGTGTCCATTATAAAAGATTCATTATACTCAGATTTATTATATGTAATCAGAACTAATTCGAGTAAAATTAAATATAAGCACTCGCTATTTGAGCAGGATGGTCAGAATTACTAACAATGCTGGTCAAAATAACCATGATACGGGCCAGATATGGGTTTGACACTTCACAGTAATTTTAAATAGTAAGTTACAATCGCGTTTACGAGTGATTAATCGTAAAGTATGAATTCATCTCATATTAAGATAGGGTTTGAATGATTCTGTTAAATATCAGATTGAATGTAATAAAATATTCGGATACATCGTGTGAATAATTGGATGACAGATAATGCGGATGAGTACAATATTTCTCCAGGAGGTTTCATTATCTTCCATCAACTTTAAGCTTCGTCTTTTGCCATTTACAATAGAGACATGTAAATCACTTTACATAGTACTTGAGAGGACTATTATATTAAATTGTAGAAAATTATTTCAGAATTGGGTGAAACCTATACATGCCGTAGGTAATTCGGCATTGATTTTTGCATAATACGAAGTTGTTGAAAATATTTCAGCAATTTACAGCTGTTCTCATAAATTCTGGGACAACTGATAAAAATTTGATCTGTCGAATTCATTGTTTTTGAATTTGGTACTATCGGAATTGGATTTTCGGCATTACAGTAATTCGATAACACCGAATTCAAAAACTTATCAAATTCGGCCGATCAATTTTTATCAATTGTCCCAGAACAACTATAATGCTCGAAAAAATACTTTCGGAAAATTCGAAATAATTTCTACGCCATGTATAGCATGTATAGTGAAACCTGAAACCCGCGCTTAGTTGTTTTTTTATTATGCAAAAGCAATTTTCACCTCTATGATCTACGTATGTAGCGGATTTACTATCATAAAGCTCCGGTTTCACCCTGTCGTACGTATAATGTAAATAATAACAATAATAATATGTCAATACAAATTGTCCCCTTCAAATGAGATGACACAATATAGAGGATCTTCATTTGAGATTGTTCCATTTATCGTTATATAGGCCGATGCAGATCGCGATCTAGTCAACCCTCTACTATACATTGTGAATTTGAAACATGTTGGAATATTGCACAGAAAGTATAATAAGGTTTAAATGAATTTTATACTATATTAAAGGCTATCTACATATAATCGACTTTGATCTTATTCTCTTCACAGATATGGTTATTAATGTATTTATTCTATTATATTGAATTTAATCACTTAAATATTGTTATGACTTTTATACATCTACTTGTGATATTTGAATACAATTACAGTAATAATAAACTGCTAGGAAATTTTGTCTATATCAGAATTAAAATTAAACAGATTTGGTATATTAACATTCTTAATCATATATTCGTACCTTTTATTGCGAACTCCGTTAATTTTATAGCAACATAAAATGTTCATATTGTTCTATTGTTCCTATCATATTCATGTGATAAATAACATTTTATTTCAAGTTATCTTTTAGAATAAAACGTCAAATACACCAAGAAATCATAACTACACTATTAGTATGCGCTTGAATTCTCCATATTTCTCGGTTTTCAAATGAGAAGAAATCAATCTTTACATTTCTACTTTTTTTAAACCATATTTTCACACTTTAAAGCCTCTTGATTTTTTGAATATTACAAATAAATGATTGTATGCATGATAATTAGAAAATTATACAATTAAGAAAACAAAACATATATCGTCATTTGACTATTATTTGACTATAAACTACTACACCTGTGACACAAACGACCTGCTTATGCATTTACTAACTTTTCAATAAACTCTTTTTAGCAGATTAAATACTTGTCACGAATCAAACAGAACGGAAAATCCGGTCTTCATGCGAATTTGGATAGATGCACTCTTCTAATTCACATGACATCCAATGATAGGATTATAACAATTTGATAATAAAATTTTTGTTATGTGATTGTCGCTATTATTAAAATGGTGATTATTTCTTAATTAAGGTTTAATGCTCTATTGATACGTATCGATATGGCCGAAATAAACTTTTTTACTTATTAGGTTTGTGCAAAATTGGACATATGCTTATCCCATTCATTGGTTCATCATATTAACAGCCGATCAATGCGAGATATGTTCTTATGATTATATTGTTCTTTCTAAAAAAAAACTACTAAAACAATGTTAACTTAAATATTATCAAAATTGGCAAGTGAGTAAAGAACATTCACGCAAAATTTTAACATATGTATATTTTTATTGTTCTGTAGTATAATATCGAAATATGATCCAAATTAACGTAATATTGTGCAAGGAAACAACATAATATTAAGATGCAATCATAATCATATTTGCACCGTTTAATTGTACTGATATTAATGTGGATTCCCAATGTTGGGTGGAAATCCATTATAAATAAGGCTCCTCACTCCTTTAACCTTTAACTTCAGATCCTTCGAATTTTACGAATAAATCAATAAAACTTTCAAACTTCTCTTGACAAAAATGAATCCAACTTTCATTTCTTCTACCACTGCTGGCACCACTGAAAAGCCTGATGGTGATCCAGTTAATCAATGCTCCATTATGCACTCTATTAAGGGTGCTACTCTCGGTACAACTGAAAAACCCGACGGCGATCCGGTTAACCAATGCTCTATCATGTAAACTTTTACTGAAAAGAAGACAAGTAAAGGACATCCTAAATCTATTCATGACTTTGTAATGGATGCTCCTCATTATTTTGGATGAATAATCAATCTACCTCTTTAACCGGTTTTATCCTTCGCAAATCTTATCTATTACTTTTTTTCTCTTTAGTTTTTTCTTATTTGTCTTATATCACTATTTTAATAATGATTTCTTTCTTTCTTGTATATGCCCTTTTTTCAAATTAGGGCTTGATTTTGCTTTTTCTCCCTATCTTCCAAGCTAGGATTTATTATATTTGTAAAGTTGTATCTTTGACTTAGATAGTCAATCTTACCGTATTAATAAATAATATTTCATGATCATGACATTCAAGGTTACTTTTTACGTGTTGTTAAAAATTTATCGTACTAATGACAAAACTCTAAGTTAATACTTAATTTCCTTAAGATGCAAACTCTGGCCCAAGTATGTGAAAATGAGTATTATGACATGCAAAGCACGGCAGAAAAATGTCGCAATCACATGATTTTGACAGGCTATTGTACCCAAATGTGTATCTTCTAATTTGCTGATCATCAAAAAAAGAAACCATTAAATCGCTCAATTGTTAGGTGATTTCTGATTTCTTAAAAGTACTCCGATATCTGGATTAGTGATTCTACCCAAACCTATTTTTTAGGTTTTGACATTACTACATCGTTTGGGTTTAAACATTGGGATTTCTACATATTTTAGGCTCAAAAATATACCAAATCCAAATTTATGTTCTAATGTTAATATATACGTAGTATCAAACTTAACAACTAATTATATTTATTAAATTAGTTTAAGATTTAACATACAAATTTAGTATTATTATTTTTTACAAATATTTTATTTATATTTATAATGTATACATATGTTTTATATTTATACAGTAATATATAATATAGATTTTAAAAATAAGAATCAAAAATCAATATTAAAATTTAGTGTATATTAATTAAGAGAATGTAGTAATCTACATTTTAATAGTTATTATATTATTATTATTTTAATAATTATATATTATTATATTGTATAACCTAAAAAAAATTAAAAGAATATTTAAAAATAAATTTTTATATAAGAATTTATAAATTTTCGCATATACAATGTATCGCCACTCATAAGATCATGTGTAACGTTAAATCAACAATAATAATGATACGTTAGTTTAAGGTTAGGGTCAGCATTAGACTAGTGTTAGACATGGCTTTAGTGAATTAATTCTAATCTAAAAATTTGCATGAAAATTTTTTAATTAAAATGTAGAAGGTGGTTTCATAGGCAAATTCTTGAGTTACAGATATACATGCTGAGCAAATCCGGACAAATCCCAAACCTCTAAAAAATAATTGCTAATTATAAAAAATTCAATCAAACAAATAATTCTAAAATTTTATAAATATATTCTCTATAGTTATAAAAATATACTTGATTTATTTAAACAATAATTATTAATAAAATTTTTGAGCAATGAATTTGGTCAGACCTTTTGGGTTTGTCCACCTTAAGTAAACTTAAGTAAACAAACTCAAAGAGTCTGACCAAATTCATAACTCAAAAAATTTTATTAATAATTATTATTTAAATAAATCAAATATATTTTTATAGTTATAGAGAATATATTTATAAAATTTTAGAATTATTTGTTTGATTTAATTTTTTATAATTAGCAATTATTTTTTAGAGATTTGAAATTTGTTCAGATTTATTCAGCATATATAGTTACAGATGAATTTTTTTAAAAAAATATTTTTTGTTTTAATTTCATATTACATTTGATCTTGTATTCTAATTAGTTAAGTAGAGTAATAATACATCATTATAGCAATAAATTACAATATTCCTTATATAATACAAGTTTTAAAATTTTATTATTTTTTAAATTGTATTTCAGACTAATTTGCTTAAAAAATTAAATTATATTTGATATTTTTTAAATAAAATAATAATTTATTAATAATATAAAATATATTTTAATTATAAAAACATATTTAATTTATAGTTAATATACAACTCTTTTTGCTGATCTTTTTTTTCAAAATGAACAAGACAAAAATAGTAACAATAAGCAAGAACCAACTTAGAAAACCTGTTTTGATATCTTAAAGAAAACAAAAAATAATATAAAGCTTGTTAGAAATATTATTTTTTTTAGTTAAAATATAAAATACAAAAGAACTATTTAGGCTTTTTTCTTAGAAATTTTAAGAAATTGTTAGAGTTTCTATACAACTAATCAAATTAGATTATACAAAACATATAAACAACAAAATAAACAAACAATAGATAATATTTTCTTTTGAATAAGTAAATAAAAATTCAAAATAAAAAATAATTATATAACTAAAACAATAATAAAAGAAAGCATATAATTTTTTTTAGAAAAATCCATAATAATACTATCAGTAGATACTAATTAATTATCAATTTAAGCTTAAATATAAAGATAAATGAGTTATACAACTAAGGATTATTTAAGTTTATTTGAAGATCAAGTAAAAAAAACTTAGTTACTTAGATAACAATATATTAATCAAAATACTTAAAAATACACACAGGTCAAATGAATAAATAAAGGGTAAATAATAAGTAAATAACAGAAAAAAAAACTGCCATTATTCTACCCTATATCCACCAAATAATAACAGCATAACAGCAGTATAACAGCAGAATAATAGTAAAATAATAGGAAATTTGTTAATATAAGTAATATAATAGTAACATAATAGCAAAATAATAGAACAGTTTTATTATTTTACTTTTAGTTACAAAGACTAAAAGTAAAATAATAGAACTGTTCTATTATTTTGCTATTATGTTACTATTATATTACTCATATTAACAAATTTTCTGTTATTTTACTGTTATTTTGCTATTATGCTGCTGTTATGCTGCTATTATTTGGCAGATATAGGGTAAAATAATAACAGTTTTTTTTTCTGTTATTTACCTATTATTCATCCTTTATTTATTCATTTAACCTGTGACAATATTACATAGTTTAAACAATATAGAATAGTTAGTATACAGTATAATAATTAGTAATTCAAATAAAATTACAAAACAAAATCTATTAATTTATAATCAAGTTTTTTAGATACTAAAACAAATTAAAACTAAAAGTTTTAAAAAGCATTAATTAAAAAATAAACAATAAAATAAGAATAATACAACACAATCTAGACTTAATCAACTATATAACCAATATAAGTAGTTCAGAAATATTAAAAAAAATAAATAAAATAAATATATAAAAAAAATATAAATATTAAAATTTAGCAAACTAATCAAAAAAAATAAAGGTAAGAAGAAACAATAAGTGAAATAATAAAAAAAAATAGTCAAAATATTATTAATAATATAAAAAATCTTACTATTATTATAAAAGTTAGTATATTAAATCAAAATCACTTATTAACAAATTTAGAAAAATTAACAGTTAAGATCAGAAAAGTCAAAAACAAAATAAAGAATATAAAAAGTGTCTAAAGGCAGAATATATAAAGTTAAGTCAAGCTATTTCTAATCTTTATATAATTAAGAAATAAATTTAAAAAAACAGATTATTTTAGCATTATTAAAAAATAGACATTAGTTATCACAAAATAGAATATGTAATAAAAATAACTTATTTAAAACAAAAATTCTAATATACAAGATTTTAGGTAAAACAAAGAAATATAGAATAAATTATATAAAATAGGTACTTAGAAATAACAAACATATTAAAGTAATAAAAAAAAGCTTTCAGAATAAAAATAATTAAATTATAGTAAACTTCAATTATAAATTTAGTAAAAGAATGATAAGTAAAAAAATTATAAGAAAAAAAAATAATTGGTATAAACTTATTCTAATAGAAAAAGAAAAACAAAAGAATAGTTTTAGTTATAATATAAATAAAAAAAGACAAACCAGAAGTTTAAAAAACAGTATAGATTAACAAACAGCATTAAATTCATAAAAAATAGAATACAAATTCTATCTTATAAAATAAACAAACTAAACTAACTTATACCAAAAGAAAAAAGTAAAGATGAAAGACATAAGTTATTTAACTATTTAAAATTTACTAACAAATATTAGTTATAAAAAAAATTAAGTTTATGTATAAATATTGAAAATGCAAGAGATGTAAGAATTAAAAAATCACAATTTAAAGCACTAATAATAATTGAAACAACAAACAGAACTTATATAAAAACTTTCTAGTTACTTTTATTAGATAACAATAAATTAGTATAAGTAATACAAAATGAAGAGAATTATAAGCAGAAAAATAAACACAACTATTTTATAACAAAACTTTTAGAAATGTTCAAAAGAGCTTCTTAAGTGTTTTTTTAAAAAGCTTAAAAAGTAAAAGACCAAAATCAGTATTCATACCAATAAACAGTAATGGCAATCCCAAAAAAGTTGCAATTTTTACTTTTACAAATTAAAATAATTTGGAATCAGTACAGTCAAAACCAATATAATACAACAATTACTCAATTTTTTGAAAAAATTATAAAATAGAAAAAGCAATAAGAAAGAGAAGTAAATTATTAGACAACAATATCTAAATAAAAAAAATGATAATGTTAGTTAAGAAATAAAATATAAATATAGTACAAAAAATACAGACAAAAATTTAAAAATTAAGCAAAAAAGAAAAAACAAAGAATTATCAAAAAAGAAAAAGCTATTAACTAAAGACTTATTATTAGGAATTATTAGCAAACTAGATAGACTCAAATTACAACATAAAGTTAAGATTGAATTGGCAAAATCTAGTTTTGCAAACCACTCCTGAAAGTTACCAAAGTTAAACTAATAATATCAGATATAGAATCAAGCTTATTATCACAAAACAAAAAAAAAGAACCAAAATGTTATTAAAAAATATTTTATATTTAAACAAAAAAATAGAAAATAATAAAAAGAAGCTATTGAGGATAGAAAAAATATATAAAAATAAAAGAATTAAGTTAAACCTGATAACACATAATATTAATGAGCTTAAAACAAATAGCCAAAAAATAAAAACACTTTATAAATAAATAATTGATAATAAACTAAATATAATAGGT